CTTCAAAGATGATATTATCATCAATAAAACCAAAGTTACTCTTTTTACTTTAGGCATAGTTATAACTAATATTCTTCTGATAACTTATGATATTATTTACTGTAATGGTGCCCAGTTTTATCAATAATCGAAATTAGAAACAATCAAGACATTCTTTGACAAGTCTCTAATGGCCCAAGAAAAATAGTCAAAACTATATATGTGTTCGTATTTAATTCAAACATTTTTTAAAAACCATATTATGTTCATATTACTAAATAACAATTAGTAAATAATTGGAAATCGTATTTAATTCAGAATCGTATTGCTGATCAAATTTCCTTTTATAGTAATAAGGAAACATGTATAGTCAAAACCAATCATGCATCTATAATTTCAAGAATTATCAGTTTAAGTACTCAAAGATCAGTTCAACTTCAATCAGCCAAACTCAAGTCCAGACCAGTCATAAATGAAACTTTACAATAAAATACTCTTCTACCATACTTTATCAAAAACCCCAAAATAAACAACACCAATCTGGGCAGTAGCACTATTTGGTCCAAAAAAATTCTAAGAATCACAAAGACCTATATAATCTGTGAAAGCTTGTCTGTAATCAAAACCTTTCAAGAAACCTTAAATCCATATGGCCTGGAATTCTTTATCAAATCCATCAAGCAAATCAGAGGTATATAAAACAACTCCTACAGTAATCTCATATCATTCAGAATTAAACTTCTATCAGAAACACTTTCAACAAAGCCTACCTTAATCAACTATATCCAAAGAGTATCCAGACCACTTCTGCCCAAGGTGTAAGCTCAGAATTGAAGACATCAAACATGTTTTCGAATGCATCGAAGCAGAAAACCATACAGCTCGAATTATCAACAGTATAAACAGTATCCTACATCCAAACCAAAGTAACAAACCTATAAATCATATTTGGCAAATAGTCAAGCTTTTGTGTGGCCTTATTGACAATATACATTTCACAGCAGATACTATTACCTGTACCAAAGCAGTTTCTGAAAGTCTCATGCTACTTTATAATCAAATTTGAAAACCAAGGTGTAATATAACAAATACATCTCCCACTATTGGAATTAAATGGGATCTGAACCTCTATCGATCAAAGATCAATAATAACAATAACAACAACATCATCAATTCAAAAAATTCAAATCAGGAAGCATTAAACTCCAGATCTAATTCAAATTCTGATAGTAAGCTAATGGTGGATCTTCTATCTTTAGTTATAAACGAATTCATTAACAGCAATTACAACTCTACTCTATGTTATAAAAATTTAATAACTAACTTTAACAATCTTATCAATAACCCTGAGTAGATATTCATAGCTGCTCGGCACTATCTCAGATATGTAACGGTTTTAATATTTATTTTCTTTACTATTAAGATAGTTCACATAGGCAAATTAGCATTAGACTTATTAATTAGATAATTATATAAGAGATATAGTTACTTTCTCTATATATAAATTTCAACTAATTTTATGATTAATAAAGTGATAATATTTATTTACAAAAATAAATAAATAAATAAATCTATATTGTTAAAAAATAAGTAAGAAGTTTTTATTATTATTATTAACTTTATTTATAGAAATAACTAGAATTTTTAATTATATATATTATTTTAATTTTACTAATTATTGGTATAATACTTGTAATAATCTAATATTATTATTACTATATTAATATTAGTTATTATTTTTCTTTAAATACTATAGAATAATAATCTTAATTGGTAAAATTTTTTTAATTGATTAGTTGTTTTCAATATAATTAACTAGTTATATGAATTTATAAATATAATTAATAGATTGATAATAGTAGAAATTTGTATAGTAGTGAAGAAAAAATTATCAGATGATTTTGATTTGATAATAATCTAAGTAATTGTTTTAATTAAAGTATTAGAAGAGTTCTTATTTTATTTTATATTAATAAGAAGGGTAGTATTTGTTATAATACAACAAAATATTCAGATTAATTTGTATAAGTTTTTTTAATTTTTTTTAAAGTGGAATGTATGCAAGACATGTGATCTTTATTGATATATTTATATATCTAGATAAACACTAAGTGTCTCTACAAATTAACTGGAAATCAGTTAGTATATAGATATTCATTATGTTTCTATAACTAATCTGTAAATTAATACTATCTAGTACATATATTGCTATAAGATTAGTTATATCAACTATTTATAATCCAATTATATGTTCATTTAAACACCCGAAGATATGCCCATATATTAGATAAGACTTTTTACAGGGAAGGAAATCCTACTACTAGTTTAAAACCCATATAACATATTAAGTCCATATTGCAAAAAGCAGTATAGTATAAGATATTATTATAAAGATTAATCCTAGTCATTTCAATCCCCTGTTATCACTGATCCTCAAGATGTGCCACTAGCATAATGCAGTATTACCATTTTCACCACTTGTGGAACTGGTATCTTTGCTTGGATTCTGATTTAATATTGACAATCTTCATTAAATTTACTTGGTTTTAACAATTTTTGCCTGGATTGTCACCTTCTATGGCCGATAATCTTTTGCTTTTTCAGTTTATTTAAATTTATATAAATACTACTCATGGAATAGATCCTTAAGCTTCAGATTGGGATAGATCAGTTTAGGATTAATTTTTTTGGGTTGTATGATGAAGTTTGCCATTACCAGTTTGAATTGGAGTTTTGTAGGCTTTTATCAGAGTTAGATCAAAAGCTTTTTCTTATGCAACTTTCTGTGCTTTGACCTATTTTTAGCTTATGATCATTGGGAAGACCAGAAGTTCCATATTTATACAGCCTAACTAAATTTGGATGTGATTAAGGATTATTAGGTATGATATATACAGGATATCCAGTAAATCTATATATAAAGATAAATATACTTTTTGCTCCCTATAAATATTAAACTAGAGACATGTATTTGGTAACCTGGGAGCACTACCTATTATACTATTGATCTACAAGTCATTAATAAATAAAATTTTTTTTTTTTTTTTTTTTAAGTAGGTAAATATCATTTCTTTATTTTAACAAATAAAAAATTTTAAAAAGTTTTGCAATATATTATATATAATAAATTTAAAAATAAAAAACAATTAAAGCTATAATATAATAACCAATTAAAAAATATAACAAATTTATAAACTTAATAGTATTATTAATAATATATTATTTAGAATTAAATAAAATTAAATATTATATCCTGATGGTGACCACAAGCCTATCTCATATGCTTGGCAACTAGCAGAGCTGATATGTGGCATTACAGACAACATCTTCTTCATAACTAATTTCTTCAATTGGATTGAAGTTTCAACTGAAACTTTAGCTTATCTATACAAGTCAATATGGATACTTCGCTGTGCTACAGCAAATACCTCTTTTCTTACTGGCATCAAATGGAACAACAATCTTTATAGTGATACAACAAAACAACTTACCAAAAACCTAACCAAAACTAAATCATCCAATAACAATTCCACATCAACATCAACTATTATAGACATACTTATTATTATAACTGACTTATATATCCAAAGTAGATTCAACTTTACTAAATGTATCTCCAAACTAATTTCAGATTTTTCTAACTTCCTTTCACTCAATGCTAAGTAGGTAATCATAGCTGTTCGGAGCTGCTTGACAAGATATATTGTTTTAAAATTTTTTTTTCAATATTAGTCTAGTGATTACTGTAAGCAAGTTAGTATTTAACTCATTGTATTAATACATATAAGAAATGTTGTTTCTTTCACAATGTATATCTATTATTATACAAATAAATAAAGAAATAATGTTTACCTACAAAAAAAAAATTAAAAAAAAAATTAAATATTATAAATAGCAATATTATAATAACTTATATTAGCAAATAATTTATTAATTAAAAAAATAAATCTAATATTTTTTCTTTATTTACTTTTAGAAATAAAATTTCAAATAAAATTCTTTTAATAAGAAAATTTTTATATAAAAGATCTTTAAATATATACAAAAATAATTTTTGCTCTAAATACTTAATACTATTAAAAATCTAATATCATATTTTTTAATATTATAAAAATAAAAAAATTTATATAAAAATCAAGATCAAATTAAATTCAAAAATTATTAAATTTTTGAATAAAATTAATTTTATCTTTTCATACTTTACAAATATTAACCATAGCAAAAAATTATAATTTAAAAAGCTTTTATATAACATAACAGATCTAAAGATTTAACTTTTGAATAAAAACAAATAAATTAATAAATACTGTTCTAAAAATTAACAATAGTGAATATTTTATTAATATTAAAAATTAAATAAATTAAATTTTTAATTAAGTTAAATAATAATAAAAAAAAATCAATATTATTTTGTTATACTTAATTAGAATTTATTTTTTAAATTATATTTTTAACAAATTTACAATCTATTAAATCAAGCAGTTTACTTAAGTCTCAAGATTTTATTTTAGTTTTGAAAAATTATTAAACATTTAATAGATGCCACTGTAATATTTAACTTATTTAAATTAAAAGATATAAATTCTTTTTTCAATTATATATTTTTGTTTATACTGTATATGTCTTAATAAAAAATAAATAAATAAATAAATTATTTATTAAATTATAATAAAAAATATTAATTTTTTGGACCTAGTATGAAGGGAAATAATCAAGGAATCCAAGGGCACGTGGTGGCTAAATTAAAATTACAAATCCGTATGCAACATTTAATAAGAGCGACAATTCAAATATAATCTGACTAATGCGTAAAAAAAAAAAGATTTATTTAAACAAGATGTGATTTCCTAATTCAAGATGTGATTATCATTGGTTTCAATATTTCTATATTAGGAATTGCATACTTCGTGGGTGTAAACTCGGCTGGTTCCGAATAGTTTTGTTCATAAATCTGACTAATTTTTTCTCCTTACTTTTAAAAACCTTTTCTTGCTACCAGTCACTTAACAAGTTACATAAGAATGGCCCAAAGAGTCCAACAGATCAACAATCATCTTTCGCAACATAATCCTTGTGTCGCTAGGATTGGTCATAAAAGTCCTGAAGATGTTGTCATAGTTACTGCCGTTCGTACACCTATGACAAGATCAAAGAAAGGCGGCTTCAAGGATACATTACCCGAAGAATTACTGGCTGCAGTCTTTAAGGCCGTTCTTGATAAGTCAAAGATTGACCCTAAACTAATTCAAGATGTCGCTGTTGGAAATGTTCTTCCACTTGGTGGAGGTGCCACTGTTGCCCGTGCTGCCTCTTTATACGCTGGAATCCCAGATACTGCCGCCTTGAACACAGTTAATAGGCAATGTTCTTCTGGTTTGCAAGCTGTTGTACAAATCGCTAACGAAATTGCTCTTGATCAAATTGAAGTAGGAATTGGTAATTAAAATGTTTTATTTTTACATTCCTAATTATTTCATTTCTAATATTAATTTATTTCATCACCGATCTTAGGCGCTGGTGTTGAGAGCATGACTTTTGGCTTCGGTGCAAACGCTATGCCTTCCGAAACATCTGAAAAAGTATTTTCAAACAAGCAATCAAATGATTGTTTATTGCCTATGGGAATTACTTCTGAAAACGTTGCAAGAGAATTTGGAGTTAGTCGCGAAAAGCAAGACGCATTCTCTGCTCTATCTCATCAAAAAGCTGCTGCTGCCCAAGCTGCTGGGCTCTTTAAGGAAGAAATTATTCCTGTAGAAACGAAATGGGTTGACCCCAAAACTGAGGAAGAAAAAACTATTGTTGTTTCTCAAGATGATGGCATTCGAAAGGGTACTACTGCTGAAGTCTTGGCAAAGCTAAAACCTGCATTTAAAAAAGATGGAACTACCACTGCCGGTAGTTCTTCTCAAGTGTCAGATGGAGCGGCGGCTGTTCTACTTATGAAAAGGAAAACTGCAGAGAGACTTCGACTTCCAATACTTGGTAAATTTGTTAACGCCTCTGTCGTTGGAGTTCCTCCTCATGTGATGGGTATTGGGCCTGCTTACGCAATTCCAGCCGTTCTCAAGAAAACGGGTCTCGGTATCAATGATATTGATATTTACGAAATTAATGAAGCTTTTGCTTCTCAAGCTGTTTATTGTGTTGAGAAGTTAGGTATTGATATAAAGAAAGTTAATCCAAAAGGTGGTGCCATTGCAATTGGACATCCTCTTGGATGTACTGGTGCTCGTCAGATTTCTACACTTTTATTTGAATTGAGAAGAACAAAGAAAAAGACTGGTTTGGTTTCTATGTGTATCGGTACTGGTATGGGTATGGCAGCAGTTTTTGAAGCTGAATGGTAAATGTTTAATTTAAGACGGATCACAGTAGTTTAGTTTTCTTATATTTAAATATTAAGCAGTATATAATGAATCCAAAAAGTACTAATAAAATATCGAAAAAAACAAAGTAATGTTTTTTTGTATTCGAAGAAAAGATCAAGATTTATTCGAATGTTTTATTTAATCCTTTATATGTGAGTCATACAAATAATTCAGATAAATCACATGTATTTTCTTGGAACTAAAGGATAATTCCAAATAATGCATTTAAAATGAAAAAAATACAATTTGAGGCAAATCATCAGGTAATTAAAACTTTTGTGAAGAGTTTTTACTCTTAAGAATTTAAGAATTGATGTTATTGATACTATAAATGTTACGTAATTATTATAGAAGAAATCTTGTTACTTTTTTTAAAGACATTAATTATAAATTATAAATAAAACACGTTAATAATTTATCGAAATACTACAGACTAAGATGTACATGTAATCTATTACTCTTTATTTATAAAATGAACTCGCTAAGAATTTATTTTTGTGACTTATCTGTTTTATTAAAATTAACATAATATTGATATTTTTTTGTTAAATTTATCTATTAAGATTCATTAAAACTTCAATTAAATATAAATATTTTGATTTTTTTTTGATTAATCTTTTTATAATATCATTTGCTAATTATTTGAAAAATTAATCAAAATTCATAAATAAACTTAAACAATAAATTTATATAAAATTAATAAATTTTCAATATACAGTAGTGTGCAAAAAAAACTGGAATCATATATTTACTTATAATTCAATAACTAATTAATTAAATTATATAAAACTTTATAAATAAGTTCTTTAATATC